GTATCTAATCTACCCAACAACGTAACATAACCGTACGTTACACTCTTATAACTAATACATAATTGTTTGAGCAATAGATATACTACAGAGTCATAGGTAAGCTGCTGTTTATTATTAGTCTTCACAATACACTACTTGTTTTTAATCTCATATGTCGTTTATCTACTGGGAGCGAAATGTGGATACAGTGCAAGGATTTCAGGTATTTTATCCTTAGCAATAAGATAGGTTGCCATATCATACAACGTGAGTTTAGATTTAGCTCTACATGGCTCAATTTTACTACAATTCAAGATATAGTGTTCGAGTGTGTGTCCCTGTCTTTATCCACACACTTTACACTTTATTTAATCTAGATCCCTATACAAGCCAATCTGCCAGAGATACTTGTAGCCAAGTCTTATTCGAGTTGTGACAACGTCTGTTGGTCTGCTGACTTTGTTACTTGCCCCATACACATGTTTTACTTCACACATTTCATTGTGATAAACAATGGACCTGCTAGTTCCAGTTTGCACTGTTCTACTTTCTTCAAATTCATCCAGGAGTTCCCTTCTAATGACACTTTTAAGGGGCCCATTTGATAACTCAAGATTCTGTTCAATACTGTCTTTATTTACTGCAACCTAAGCAAGTTTAGTTTAGTTCATTTATTATGCACCCTATACCCATCTTATAGGCGGTAGTGGAAAGGGTTACAGAGGCACATATAATGGGCTCAGGGACTGAACCTCACAATTCATTTAGCTAAGCAAGTTACAATCTTGATGAGCTAGTTACAAAATTCAGTATAAGTCGTCACATCAACAATGGGTTCGAGATCGACCTCAAGTACAGTTTCTAAATTAAGCAACTGACATATGTGGAGAGCTAGTGTCACAATTGATATGTTTGTCCTGCACACCGCCCCCCATCCAGTGGGCAGCGGTGGATAGGTTACAATCACTTAGTTACTACCTACAGTTAGCAAACTGGGGATTTTTGGCTAAAATTTCTGGTAGCAGATAATTTTGAATGAAATATTTGCACATCTTCGGAACATTAGTTATAGAATTGTCTCTGAATTCACGTATCTTTTCGCACTCCATCACATAGTGACGGAGGGTGTGCGAATAATTTTGTTGACACAGTTTACATTTGGTCAGGTCTACTGCAAGAGATAATGAGAATTCCCAGAGATACTTGTAACCGAGTCTAAGCCGAGCAGTAGTAATATCTAGAAGTCTGCTGATTTTATTGGATGAACCATAGATGTGTGGCTCCTCTTGCATGATAATATGATGATAGATGGAATTACTGGTGTCGATTTCACTTTGTCTCAGATCTACAAGATTTTGTTGAAGTTCTTGGCGTACTATTGCTCTCAGACTGTTTATTGACAATCCAAGGTTATACTCAATTTCTCCTTTAAAGGCAGATTCTTTGGCTAACTCCTCAGCTCTATCATGCATTCGAAGGCCGACATGAGATGGAGTCCACATGAAATGAACTCTGTTACCATCATTAATAATTTTGTTGTATTTGTGTCTAGCTTCGGACACGAGCATGTTACAGTTATGTCTTTAAGAGTTGAGAACAATTAAGAGTGATAAAGAGTCATTTACAAATAATGTATCACGTTTGGAGACTTGTACACATAGCAAGGGCGTCAACTTTATCATGCTCCTGCAGGCCAATGTGAGAAGGAATCCACAACATTTTTGTATTTATCCCCTTGTTAAGTATGCTTATATATCTATGTCTGGCTTCTGAGACAAGCACGTTATTACTTGATTGCAAACTATTTATCGCTAGTAGGGAGGAAAGGGAGTCGGGAATAATTAAGTTGTCTTCTTCAGTATTGTCAATAATTTCGAGAGCTACCAGTATTGCTATCAACTCAGCTTGCATTGTGGACGCCCAGTTACTAATTCTGATATTCCTTTGAATTGTGCTGCCATCGGGCTGATGAGCAATAACAGCACTTCCTGCCCTCCTTGTAGCTGTATTGAGTGATCCGTCAGTGTATATGGTCTGTGCGATGTTGTTCTTATTTTGTATATTGTGAATGTGTTCTATAGTGCTTAATTTAGCAGCAAGCTGAGCATGATGGTTGTTTGTGATTAGTTTCTTGGTGCAGGCGTCAGGATGTTAAAAGGTACTATCTGCCAGGGGTTGAAGGAAGTGCTGTACTCTTTCATCTGTATATACATCGTGCAGTCCCATATTTTAATATGAGTGGCTGTTCTTTGAATCCATTTAGACTCGCTGGTTCCATTACGTATGTGTTCTAAAAGTTCAACTGACACAATGTTGCTTTTGTTATCACACATAAACTTTAATCCCATCATAAGATTGATTTCAGAGGACACAGTACTCTTCCGGGTTGAATAACTCTGAACATGTTGTGACTAAGTGGTATGGTGGGTGTCTGGCACTCATCAGAGGATGGTGATTCAATCCCCGCTATGTTTTTAGTTAGTTTAGTTCATTTATTATGCACCCCATACCCATCTTGTGGGCGGTAGTGGAAAGGGTTACAGAGGCACATAATGGGCTCAGGGACTGAACCCCACAATTCATTTGCTAAGCAAGTTACAGTCTTGATGAGCTAGTTACAAAATTCAATATAAGTCGTCACATCAACAATGGGTTCGAGATCGACCTCAAGTACAGGTTCTAAATTAAGCAACTGACATATATCAACTAAGAAAGTCTCTAAGACAGTTGGTATACTCTCCAAAATCAGATATTATGTTCCTAACTCTGCTCTCCTCTCACTATATTATGCACTAATCTACCCCTATCTTAATTATGGTATCTGTGCATGGGGGTCTACCACTGCAAACCACCTTAAGCCCATCATCACGCAGCAAAAATCTGCTATCAGAATAATAACTAACTCTGCTTTCAGACAACACTCAGCTCCCTTGTTTAAATCCCTAAACTTGCTAAATATTAACTCCCTCCACACATTCTCTTGTGTCAACTACATTTACAAAACCCTGTTCTTAAATGCAAACCATGCTCTGAAACTCTCCCTGGACGGATGTAATAGGACCCATTATCACCACACCAGAAATAAATATTTCTTTGATATCCCCAGGGTTAAACTTAATCTGTGTAAACACTCTATGCAAATTAAGGGACCTAGTCTATGGAACTCACTGCCTAGTGAATTGAAAAACTGTAAAACTTTTGCCTTATTTAAAAGCAAAACCAAAAAGTACCTAATTTCATCTTCTTAGTTTCCTACACTGAGCTTTAAATTTGCTCTGTACCTAGTGTTACCCAATCTCCCAATTTTTATGTATTTAACCCTAACAACCTTATCATTGTGTTCATTGCTGTCTTCTTTTATGTGCTAGCCATATGCTGTATTGTGCCTACCAATTTTTGTCAACTACCATTCAAGCTGTCATTGTAATCAATCTTAGCTACCTATGTGCTTTAATATATTGTACCTACAATTTTTTCTCATCTTTTTTTTTCTTGCCATGTATCTGTTATCATTTTTTTTATAAATTTTGCAAGTATTTACCTACTTAAAATTTTCTTAGATTAAGGACCTGCCCGAAACGCTGCGCGTACTAGTGGCTTTACAAGACTGTAATTACCATTTTATGTATCCTCACATTCCCAATATACCTTCTTGTACCTTCTTCTCCCTTATCTATCCATATCTCAACTATGGTATTTGTGCTTGGGGCTCTACTACCCAAAATCACTTACGTCCTCTAATTACTCAACACAAAGCTGCGATTAGGACAATATCCAATTCTGGCCCCAGACATCACTCGGTACCCCTACTTAAATCTCTGAATATGTTAGACATTAAGTCACTGCACATTCTCTCATGTGTATTATACATATATAAAACGCTAAACTATAATGCCAATCCTGATCTCAAAAGCTTCATAGAAGGTTGTATCAGAACCCATGAGCATCACACCAGAAATAAATACAGTTTTGATATTCCTAGAGTACGACTTAATCAAACTAGAAATGCTCTACAAATCAAGGGGCCCAGAATGTGGAATGACCTTCCCAACCATGTTAAAGACTGTACCTCTCTCAACCAGTTTAAGTTAAAAGCGAAGCTATACCTAATAAATTCCCTGTAACCTACCTTACCCTTCTATTGTCAACCAATGTCTGTTTTTTTCTTTAAAGAGCGCTGTTTGTCGACATAATTGTATTTGTGCTGCTTTTTCATCTATGTTTTCATTTCTTGTTTTCATTCTACTCATTATGCTCAATTAGTATTAAGCTTGTCATTTAAGTTTATCATGCCCGAAACGCTTTGCGTAATAGTGGCTTTAGGCATTGTATGTACTAGCTATACCTATAAGTTAAACTATCCTTGTAAATATTTATTGTATGTATGTACCTTACCTAAATAAAATTGTATTGTATTGTATTGTATTGTATTGTATTGTATTGTATTGTATATGCATGTGGAGAGCTAGTGTCACAATTCATATGTTTGTCCTGCACACCGCCCCCCATCCAGTGGGCAGCGGTGGATAGGTTACACTCACTCAGTTACTACCTACAGTTAGCAAACTGGGGATATTTGGCTAAAATTTCTGGTAGCAGATCATTTTGAATGAAATATTTACACATCGCTGGAACATTGGTTATAGAATTGTCTCTAAATTCACGTATCTTTTCGCACTCCATCACATAGTGACGGAGGGTGTGCGAATAATTTTGTTGACACAGTTTACATTTGGTCAGGTCTACATCGGCAGATAATGAGAATTCCCCGCTATGCTCCAGCAATTTTCTCATTAACATACAATGCATTGTACCTTCTTAATTGTATATGAATAAATATATTCATATACAAGAAGGTATAACCAATTGTACCTTCTTGTATATGAATAAATAAATATGTTGTGTTGATTTAGGGGCGACGAGGATCGAGAATAAATAAATATATCATGCTATTGTCATTTCCCTTTGTGGTGATTATTATTTTTATTAGTTTGGGCTCGTCGTCACCCCTGTCAACAAATTGGTTTTGTCGACTCCATTCTAGCAGTGCTGTAGTGGCCCCTAACCCAATAACCATTAAACCAGCAGCAACGCCGAGTGAAATTTCGCTGCGGTTGCCACATCTGACTTATTCATATAACTCAAACCACCTGGATAATAGTACGTTGAAAATGTATTCCTTGCTACAAAGAACAGTAATGATCAGCTGGCACCATCAACACAACATCCAGCCCTCGCCGCCAAGCACCATGTCTAACTAAAACACGTCTATTTTCGTCCTTAATTTTGAATCGGCTGGCAACAACAACAACATTAAAACAGTGACAAATCACAATGTTTGAGGTTATACGTGTACCAACTTTACCACTTGTGTAGTCAGCGGAAGGATAAAACCTTCACTAACACTGCACGTTCCATAAAGGAAGGAGAAAGGTTGAACAGTAAAGGCTTGTAACTGTTAAACCTTCAGATCCTAACAAGCGAACAGGTGTATCACCACACCTAACACAGGAAGAGGTAAGCAAGCTTTTGACTCATGAACAAGTGTAGGATTGCCACACGTCCATGTTTTCCAGGACATGTCCTGGATTCAGGTGTCAAAATTTGTGTCCAAAAAGAATTGTAAACATTCTCCAAAAATCCGGAATTTCAGCATCGTCACAAAGCTCAAAGCGCCACAAAGCGGCACTTGCGCGCCACTCCAAGCAACAGCCTGGTGGGCCAAATTCTCACAAGTCAAGCCTGGCCTCGGGCCGGGCTTGGGGAGTAGAAATACTCCCAGAACCCCATCAAGCAGGTATCAAGGTAAGTCACCAAGTGACTTCATTGTCTTTTTAAAGTCTAATAAGCCATTGCTGAAAACAATCATATCTACAAAAAAATATGCATTTGCAGATCAAGCCATAGACAGAGTTGGAAAAGAAGATTGTAACTAGAAGTTCAAGAAGATCAATTTTATATAAAAGTAATTTTTGTTGCATTTTTTCAAAATAATTCTGTACTATGCTTGTTTTCCATTATAATGGTAATTATATTAAAAAAAAACTAATGCTTGTGTTAGGCTGGATTCTGATTTCAGATATGGCAATCCTAATCAAGTTGCCAACGATATATAGTTACAATAAGGGAATAAGGGGCCTGGTGACTGTGTACTGTAACTTCCTCAAACACTCAATTTTTTTGTGAATAATATCTTCATGGTAAATGCTCCAACTTTTCCTAATGGATAAACATCATACCATGAACAGAAAAAAGTTAAAAATAAAATAAAAAAAATTCACAATTTCAAATTAGCTTTAAAAACATTAAAATGTCACTAATTTTTATTTTATTCATTATGGTCTCAGCATGGCATATAACGTTCATGTTCCTAAGGAAAAATATATTCTTTGAGAGTATAGTTTACTGCAAAACATTTTTTCAATATGGCCATCCAAATATGAGCAAAATTTAGACACAAAAATTTTTTAATTCCAAACGTTATGGCTTTATGACTAAACGACCCTTAGGACACCTTAGAACTAAAAATTTTGCACATAATATGTAAAAAATGGTGAGAATCGGCCAGAACCTGAATTTTTGAAGCTGTCTCAAGGTTGAAATTTCTTTTTTAGAGATACTGTACAGTAATTGAAGTTAAAGTTATCGACAATGAAAATGGTAGTTCTAATTAATGAATTTTCTTGTATGTTTTAGTAAACAGTGCTTGGTATTCGTACTTGAATATGTGAAAGTTGTAGGTCAATATGTGTTGAAATGAAGTCAAGAAAAAAAATACTAAATATAGGGATAGGTTAGGGATAACAAACATATATATTGTAGTAACTTTATTGCCCATACAGTATATAAGTGATAAGGCCCTTATCTGGTCCTCATTCATCAATACAACCTAAGGAGACAAAGAAACTAGAGCTTGAAATCTGTAAATAAATTGGCCCGCCAAAAAATAAGTCACAACTTACGCACAGAAATCACAATAGCGTGATGTATCAAATGAACAAATCCACAAGGCCGTGATGAGGATTCGAACCTGCATCCAAGAGCATCCCAGATGCTGCCTTAATCGACTGAGCTACGACATAGTATAAGAATTGCAACCAGAAATTCTACTGAATTTACTTGGATCCTGTAGCCTCTCCGAGACACAAACCAGGATTATACACAATTTCCCCATGCACTCGAGCTATGTCAATAGGCCGTTCTACCTCTTCGCCCTTACTTCATTACACACAGAAATCACAATAGCATGACATATCAAATCTATACTTTATTCAAATCTATACAATCTATACTTTATTCAAAAGTAAAACAAAAAGTGCCTGATTTCATCATTGTAGTTTCCAGCTTTGTGCTAACCCACTCACCATGTTTAGTACTAAAGACATTCAAATTAAGAAATTCAATATAATCTAATCTATCAATTTGTAATGTAATTATTGTGTTTAACTCAAATTCTATTACCTTTATTGTATAGCTTAAGGACCAGCCTGAAATGCTATGCATGTTAGTGGTTTTGTGAGAATGTTACACTTCCTTCCTTTCCTGAATTTCACTTTTTCATCCTTTCTTCCTCCCCCCATCCTTCTTCTGGTGGGGGGGGATATATCATAATAAGTGTAATATATTCTACAGTTAGTTATTTCTTTCTAAACCTTAATGTATGTACTTTCTCAAACCAACGTACCTTCTTGTACATAAGTAAATGAATAATGCATACTGTCTTGACGATATAGGGCTTATGTTGCTTGTAAAGTTAGGAAATAAGTTAACAGGATACCTATTAAGCTTATCATGGTGGTTAATCTGACAGTGATTTACATATTATAATATAATTTTGCCACTGAATGATTAAATTAACTAAACCTTTTATAATCTTGGATTATATTTTTGTTTCAGAAATGTCTATTACAGGCTTGGTGTTGGCAAGAGGTGGCAGCAAGAGTATTAAAAGGAAAAACTTGGTCCTGCTGAACAACCAGCCGCTGTTGCTGAGATGTCTGGAAGTTGTACGAGAGGCAGGATGTAAGAATTAAGGAAGTTATTTTATGTATATAATGTATCCTTATAGAATAGGCCTAATTGGGTTTTGCTGTTTACTGTGCTGTGCAGTACACAAGTATTTTTTCTACTTCGTTTGTGCGTATTTTAAGAATACCTAATGGATTCTCTTCAAAACATGCATCACTTATGCACCAATATGAGTATGTGTACAGTAACACCTTGGTTTACGAATTTAATCCGTTCCAAAAGACGATTCGTACACAGAAAATTTGTAAACCAAAACAAATTTTCCCATAAGAAATAATGTAAATTGAATTAATCTGTTCCACACACTAAAAAATATTAACTTAAAAATACATTTTATACAGAATACTACTCATATTTTTTACTATACCTTACCTTTATTGAGAACTTGTGGGTCTATGGAAGACAGTGAGGAGCAGGGGGGAGGAGGAGAGGTGTTAACATTTAGAAGGGAAGTCCCCTTCCATTATAACAAAAGGCAGTGATGACATTTCTGGGGTACACTCTCTCCTACATTTTGCAGGCATACCACTAGAACCTGGTTGTGGCTCATTGCTTGCTTGTCTTACTAAGAATCTGTCTATAGACACTTGTTTTTCCCTATGTTTTAACACTTGTCTGTAGTGATACATCACATTGTCATTAAAAAGGTTAATGCAACGGCCTGCTACAGCTTTATCTGGGCGAGTCTTATCATTGACATAGATTTGATGTACTGCCCGGCTAGATCAACAAGCTGCATACCATCTTCATGTTTACGAATGATCTCTTGTTTTTCCTCTGCCGTTATTCTCACAACCATTTTCTTAGGTTGAACTTTACCACTGACTTTCTTGGGACCCCATGGTGTGATACATATATAATAAGAACTTTTATGTTCAGAAACCAAAAAACAGGAAAACAATTAAATTCTTAACAAAGAATTCAAGCACGGTCGTCGCTAAGCGGGATACACTGGTATACTGAACGTGTCTCGCTCCGCGCTCAGCAGAACCCACAGATCTATCATTCAAGTGATTTTGTTACCGTATTAAATTTTGCACAAAAGTTTTTCTATCATTTGAAATAAAAAATAATAAAAATGGTTCATATAAAATAACAGAAAATAACAAACAGAATGCAACAACACTACAATTACTTCACAAGAGTCCAGGTCGGAATTTGTGTTTAGATATGAGTATCATATAAGGAGGTACATTAATTTTTGGAGGGAGCCCATTGTGGATTCCTGAAGCTATCTTCCTGAGATTGCTTTGCACTTAAAGGTCACATCAGCCTCTTCTAGTTCTGTTGGCCTACCAACAACCAGAGCCAGAACCTGGCCCCCTCCAATCCTCACAGAAGCAAGAGAGACTAGGTCACAATCCGCCACCTCACTAGAGGAAGCCTCCAGAAAGTCAATACAGTTTTATAGACAACTGGAAGGTTCACAGAAAATGAAGCCTTAAAAAACCACCAAAGAACTACCAGAAACAAGTCACATTGAACAATGGATTCACTCAAATGAGCTCAAAACTTGTTAGTACTAATTACCACCAGCAGGTGGCCCAGGGTTCCCGCTGGCTCCCCATTTCAGTTCTATTCCTGATGTTGGTGTCGTGACATCAACTTCTTAGGTCATCTGCAGTGTTACTAAGCATAGCCGGCCTGTGGTCTACCGTCATGCTCATGATGTTTGGAAGCATTCTACTCTGGTGTCTGTGTTTGCTAATATAGCTTGGGATAATATTCAGTCAGAGGCCTTTTAGCAGTCTAGCAGGGTTCTGGTTGCCTGGTATTTAATGTTCGTGGGCCTCGGCTTTCTTGTGAGGCCTTGGGTCAAATCCCTCAACATCAGTTCTCGTTTTCATCTTGACTGCCTTCGGTTCTACCTCCTCCCTAGTAAGTCCCTATATTTTCTCCCTCTCTGTGAATAATTAACTTCAGGGACACACAAAGGGGGCTTCCTCCAGAAAACCAGCATTGAATGTTATGAAATGCCAGTTTCTGAGACAGCCCCAGTGGCTCCCCAGTTCCCTCCCTCCCTTCCAGGTCATCAGGTGGGGGGTTTGTGTGTGCATCTGCTTCAGAACTGAGAGCTCGAGCCTTTGAAGGGCTCTACCCGCCTCCCAAATCAGTGGGAGAGTTGGGGCCAATGAGCACACTCTAGTTTCAAGAGATTATGATCATTTGAGTTGGGGGTTTAGGTGGGTTGCAAGGGTTCAGTTTCTTTTGAACCCAGTAGTTGTCTGTTTTGGTTCACTGACTTTGTGAATGCCTTTACCAGTGAGGTGACAGCCTGTCACCTTCTTCCTGTGCCACTTTTGAGGGGGCCAGGTTCTGGCTCTAGTCCTTGGTAGGTCTAAGAATGCCACTGCAGATACAACCTTGTAGTTGGGAGCCATTTCAGCTTAAGGAAATTACAAGGGGGGCTCTTCCCAGAAAACCAGCATTGAATGTAATAAAACACCAATTTCTGGGGAAGCCCAGGTGGTTCTCTGATGTTTCAGGGAGCCACTGGTGCTCCACCAGAAATTGGCATTTCTTTACATTTAGCACTGAATTTTTAATGGTGCTTAGTGAGGTATGTTAGTAAGTACGGTTCCAGACAAAGATCGTCACAGTCCACTTTCATCTGAGGCCGACTTCCTTCAAGACCAAGCAGAAGGAAGAGTAATAATTATTAATTGATTATATTTTTATTATAATAATAATTATAATTAATAATTATTAATTACAACAATTATTATAATTATTATTATAATAAAAATATAATCAATTAATAATTATTGCTCTTCCTTCTGCTTGGTCTTGAAGGAAGCGAGCCTTGGGTGAAAGGGGGACTGTGACGATCTTTGTCTGGAACCCGTAGGTGCTGGGCTCGGAAGTCCACCTCCTGGGGGTCGTGCAGCCAAAGCTCTGCTTCAGGAGGCTGGGATCATTCTTGCACTTGCTGGGGTGGTTCTTCTCCGGCCCCGACCACGGCGGTCTCCGGGCTTGGAGTCCCTGTGTCTTCTTTCACCAAACTTAAGGTTGGTGAAAGATATCTTCTGGATATATCTGGAGAAAGATATATCTGGAGCCCCTAGGACAGTTCATTGTTGCCTTCAACCTCGTTCTGATAGTTCGTGCAATGGCGTTGATACCAATCGTATTGGCGTTTGCCTTTCCACTGGAGAATTTTGGTGCCATGGAGAGAGGTGGGGGGGAGGACATGCTGCATGGGTGACAGCTTCTTCCCTGTATCAACCTACCCTGGCTTTGCGTCTTAGAGAGGCCACTCTAGATCGACAACCAGAGCGCAACTCCATAGTCTCCTGAGACTGATGGATGCCTACTACCACTACCTCATATAAACCACAAAACCTGACTGAACAAGCTTTCCTAAAACTGCATAACACGATCAAACAACCCTTGCTATACATATACAACTCAAACAACTCTTGATATGCTGTACCTATGCAACTCAATCAAACAACCCTTGCCATATCTACTCAACTTTTTAAAAAATCCTGGCTATATCTATACAATAATAAGTTCTATTAAGTTGTTCAACTTGTAAAAAGTAAATAATAGGATGAAAGCTGATAAAAATTAGAACTACAAGCAGTATGTAATCATGTATACATGAGAGAGAAAGAATTTGTGAAGAAGCTGCAATGTGTAATCAAACTAATAGAGGGATTAATACATTTTGTTAAATTTAATTAGTTGATTGGTTCCAAAATATGAAAAGATAAATTTCAACATTTATCATGAGTATTTATTTTTTTCTAGTGTGGTTTCCTGATTTACAGGTTTTAATAGCATATGGGTCAGCACAGATGATGAGAAAATTGCAGAATGTGCAGTGAAAGGTGGTGCTAAGGTCCATCACAGAGCAGAGTACACAGCAGCTGATGAAGCCTCATCATTATGTGCTGTACAAGAATTTCTTCAATACCATCCGGGTAAGATAAAATAATTTGTACATTTTATTAAGCAGAGGAGGAGTCACAATAACATGGCTGAAAAATGTTGACCAAATCACACACTAGAAAGTGAAGAGACGACGACGTTTCAGTCTGTTTTGGACCATTATCAAGTCGATTGTCGGTCCATCCTCAACCATTATCAAGTCGATTGTTGGTCCATCCTAGGGCATTATCACAATCGAATTGATAATGGTTCAGGACGGACCGAAACATCATCGTCTCTTCACTTTCTAGTGTGTGGTTTAGTCAACACATTTTATTAAAATCATGTAGATGGTTATTATGGCATGTTAACTGAGCAGTTTAATTTTATGAGCACTGCAGGAAAAAAAAAACTAATTTCTACAACACTGAGGCTTGGGTACAGATATTACATGTGTAGGAATACACTGACCTCAGTGGCCTTTATCATACACAGTTTTGTAAAGTATGTGGCCAACATGATTTCCATGCACTACTGCACTCTAGTTGAATATGGTGACACTGTTACATGCAGATCTCTAACATTAGTCATAAACTGCACTCGATGCAGGAAGAACTTGCCGTTTTAATTTGTTTGTGGACCTTATTTGATATGATTAGAATTCTGTCAAACTTTGCTTTAATTTCGATATTTTTTAAGTCATTATATTGAAGATTCCATTGATGCTAAAATGTGTCATCAGTACTCTGAAAACATTCTGATTATGTTAAATAGCATAATCTGATTGCTATTCATAAACATTAGTATATTCATCACTGTTGTGCATAATTTACAGTAAATACACTTCTTCTAAATACACGTTTTGCTTCTGTTCTCTAGAGAATTTATTTCTGAACATTTTGACAATAAATTTATATTTATAACCTAACAATAACATAGAAAAACGTTAAATGATTGTAAACATCTTTTGCATCACTGAGCGGAGCACGAGTGATCCAAGAAGCCCGGAATTTTATGGTTGGGAAGATGCAGAGAGGCCAGACTGCCAAATTGTTACAATTTTCCAGTAAACTTCATTCCTCGATCACTTGACATCTAGTTTAAAACGTTTAGCAGCAGACAAACTATGCACACGTAACTATTCATGCATTTGAAATTGGGATTCCTAAAATATATTCCCAGCTTTAAAAAATATCCTGTACACTATATATTCTTAATACCTGTATTTGTATAAATTTTTGTAACTTTTCCTTACAGAAATCAGCATAATGTGTATCATTCAGTGTACCTCACCATTCATACAAGCAAAATATCTTCGTAAGGGAATGGAAAAAATACAAAGTGGTTATGACTCGGTGTTCTCAGTAACTCGCAGACATTTATTAAGATGGTCTGAAGGTGAGTAGAAATGAGAAGATGTAAGTTAATCTGAATGAAGGCACTCACTGCAATACTCTGGCTTCATGTTCATTAACTTTTACTGTATATTATTTGAATTTATACTTCTGTAAGAATTACATGTATTCAGTCTTAACCCCAATACTGCACAGCCTTCACATGAGATCCTCCCATGGTGTAGAAAGAAAGAATAATGTCCCCAAAAAATGTCCTATCTGATTTTGCTTCCCTGATGAAGGGAAATATACGTCTTGTAATACATATACCTCTTACCTCTTGTGTCTTGAAACAGTTTTTTATGGGTAGAAAGCAATTTAATCATAGGAGCACTATTGTTAGAATGTTCTAGGTATTTGGGAAGATCTTTTAAGATCTTATTGTTAGACTTCATGGTCTCGATGTTATTTTTACCATCGGATGAAGAGGTAGCATGGTATGTATCACTGTTGGGATACCTCTTGGTAAAAGCGGATACAGATAGTAACACTGGTGGTGGATTACCTTGATAACTCTTGAGCAGGTTGACGTGACAGAGTTGTGTCTTGCGACGCCAGTCCGGAGTCTCTAGAATGTAGTTGTTGTTCTTGCATTCTTTGACGCGATAAGGTCCTGAAAATTTACTTTTAAATGGAGAGGTTGGGATAGGAAAATAGGCTAGAACGAAGTTTCCTACATTAAACTTTCTTACCTTAGTGTTCTTGTCAAAGTGTGCTTTCATCTTATTTTGGGAAGTCAGTAAATTAACGCTAGCAAACTTATGTAATTGTTCAAGTTTATGTCTTAAGTTTTTAAGAAACTGAGGCATATTAAGGGAATCACTGAAGGTGGTTGACATCAAGGAATCTTTAAAAGCTTTCAGAGGACCACAACACTTACGACCATAGAGCATCTCATAAAGAGATACTCCGAGACTCATTAGGAAGACTTCTGAAAATAGACATAAGGAGATCTAATTGCTTATCCCAATCCTTCTCAGTATCAATACAAAATTAATTTAACAAAGACTTTTTGGTTTGATAGCTATGTTCTAGAGATCCCTGTGAAGCAGGATGATATGGACTGGACAAGACTTGGGTGATGTTAAATTCCTGAAGGGTTTTCTTAAACAACTCACTGGTGAAATTAGTTCCACAGTCACTTTGTCTTTGTATCTCCTTTGGGAAACCATACTGAGTGAAGATCTTCAACAGATGCTGCTTGACAACTGTAGCAGCTGTAATATTCTTAACGGGAACTGCTATTGGGAACCTGGTTGTAGGACACTTTATAGTGATGATGTACATATTGTCTGCGTGGGTTTTTGGTAAGGGCCCAACGCAGTCGATTACTAACCTGGTAAAAGGTTCAGAAGGCATAGAAATAGGGATAAGTGGTGCTTTGGGAATACCAACATTTGGTTTTCCTGCCATTTGGCAGGTATGACAATTGGTAACATAGCTTCCAGCTCCCAAACGTCTGAGTGTTTCGGAGTTGGGGCAGGGTTTTTCTTGGTAGTGAGACTTGGGCAGCTTCGGAAACTGCCCCTTCTAGATTGGCGGCGGAGGCATTTGAGCCTGTTCCTCCTGCCGGGACTTTTGGGTTACGCCAGCGGGCCCCCTTCATCCCTGTATCCCTGCTTTTCCGGTGTTTCTGCCTTTTCTCCAGAGGCGGAGGGTTTGAAGGATGGCTCGGCCCCAGGTCCTGATGTAGAGTATTCCGGATCTAGGGAGGAGTTGACTTGGGGGGCTTGGACCCCGGTTGACCCCACTTGGGTGTTGGTAACCTCGATGTGGGGTTTGTTGTTACAGGTAGAGTGGGTTTTCCTATCCCTCCTCCCTGTACGAGTTTGATATGGGTTCGACTCTTCCCCGGGTTTGGTTCCAGGTTCACTTGGGTCCCTCAGTTTCCTCGTTCTGGAGGTTTTTGGCTTCCTGCATCTCACTGAGGAAGGTGCAGGAGACCCTTGCTGTTTACCTCCTACGAGACCCCAGATTACGCCTCGATAATGGAGCCTTCTTCTTTTGAGTTTTGATCCTCTTTTCCATACTGGGTGCATTACGAGGTGCCGGAGTCTTCCTGGCTGGCGGACTGCCCTTTCTTTTTGTTGGGGGTGTGGCATGTGTTCTGTCGGACCTGCACACTTGAATGGCGGGAGTTGACTACGGTCGTTCAGATTTACCCTGTGGGGGTGGGGGGGGGGGTGAGGTTAAGCACCGCAATGCATGCTTGTTTGCCCCGTGCTTCCTCGTCACATCAGCCAGGTTTCACATGCAGGTTCCCTCCCTTTTGGCATCCCTGATGGCCGAGGATTTGAGCGCCCATGGGCATTTGGCTTCGGTCTTGCGTTTCTTTTCCCTGCTGGAGCTGTCTTCAGACTGGCTCGAGGAGGATGTGGAGAAGCTGGGTTCTGGACTGGTGTCTGGTGCACTTGCCTCAGCAGCTCGGGCGTTGGCTGTCTTGAAGTTGTAAGCGCCGATTCTGAAGGAAGCGGTGTCTCTGTTCTTTGCTTCTCACCTCGCGTGCCGACAGGAGGTGCTCGTTCTCTCTTTGGAATCTGCTTGAGCCCTGGTTCTTAGATTTTTGTTCTCTTTTTGTCCATTGCTGTTTGCAGAGTCTGTGGTGGTGCATTTTCTACAGGCGGCTTCATCTAGTTGTCAGCCTATGTCGGGCTTGTTTAGTTGCCGGCCTATGTCAGACTTGTTAGTTCTCCAGGGGGCGGGGGGTCCTGTCTGGAAGGGTCATGCCAAGGCTCAAGGTTTCTTCGGTCGTCGTAAGCCAGTGGTGCCAGATTCGGAGCCGGCCCATCCTGAGGATGTCGGCATCTGGTCGGCGCAGTGCTCACTCTGAGCATCGGTTGGGCTCTCATAAGGATCATCGGCCCATTAACGGTGCAATAGGGGGGAGGCTTGCGCTGTTTGCTCTCGCCTAGTCCCATGATTCATGGGCGTTTCGGGTCATTTCCTCCAGCCTGCAGTGGCGTTGCGCGAGTCCTCCTTCGGGGGGTTCGGAGATGGTGGGGCAGGCTTCTATCTGCAGGTCATGGTCCCCTGTTCCTAGGCTCACATTTTCCAGGTCGTCCACTGTCATTAGATCTAGCCACCCTGTGATCTACTGTCAGGCCCACGATGTTTGCAAATACAGTGCACTTCTTTAGCTGCGGTCTTTTCAAACATGTCCTGGGCTTATATTCGGGCTCAGGGGTTTTGGCATTTTAATAGGGTTCTTGCAGCCCAGTTCCTAGTCACTATTCCTGATCCCAGTCAGTCTTGTGTTGCTTTGAGTCATATCTCTCAGCCTGGTATCTCTTCTTTGTCCTAATACCTGATGCCACTCCTCCTCCCTGGTAAGTCCCATTCTCGTTGTCTGTGGTTAGCTTTGGGTAGCTACCTGGATTTCTCCCAGAAACTGAGCATTGAATGTAATGAAATGTCTCTTTCTGGTAAAGTCTAAATGACCCAAATTCCCTCCCTCCCTTCCAGGTTCATCAGCTGACCCGGCTGAGGGCAGAGGCTGGGCTGCCTACTGGTGGCACTCGGTATTATAGAGTTTTGAGCTAGTTTGAATGAGTCCCTGGGTGTGTGTGTAAATTGCTTCCAGAGTTGTTAGGTTATTTCTAAAGCTTCATTTTCTGTGAACCCACCAGTTGTCTGTAAAGTTTTGCTGACTTTTTGGAGGCTTTCCTGATGTCTCATGTCCCCAGTAGGCCAAACAGAACTTCAGCAACTGATGTGACCTTTAAGTATGGAGCAATCTTAGCAAGATAGCTTCAGGGAGCCACTGGGGCTCCTCCTGAAAGAGGCATTTCATTACATTCAATGTTAGGTTTTTATTGATGGAAAGGTCTTGCTGAAGTAAAAATAAAGAGATAGGAATATCTTAATTGTTCATGAACTGGTTTTGATGCACCTTTATACTTTTTGAAAGGGTTATTACTTACAGTAAGATAGAGTAATAAAATTGCATGTCAGTGGTATTTAAATTTCATTGATAGTTCTTTATAATTTCAGGAGAACAAAGTTATCCTCTGAACTTTAATCCAAAACAACGACCACGGCGACAGGATTGGGCTGGTGAGATGTATGAAAATGGCATGTTTTACTTCTGTAGAACAAATTTGATTCGTGAAGGTCGTCTACAAGGAGGAAGGTTAGTAGAACCTGCTATTTTTAACTCTTATAATTTACAAATAATCATATAGATTCTGTCCTGGTCACAATTTTCATTGATTTTAGAATCATGTACTGTATGTGGCAATTATGCTCTTCAGTTGTAGAATGTCATCTTTCTCTTCTAATAAAACAGCTGTAATTTCAAGGCTCACATGATAGCATGCCCCTTAAGTGTGTGATGAATACAAAAATATACATTAATTAAGGTAATACCGTAATACATAAAATGTGTATACTCTTGACTAATATTTAATAAAATTTACTGCAATTGTAGTAATTTGATGATAATATCAAAATGTTAGGTTTTGAATCTGTTTATTCCTTGTGCCTTACTTCCTCCTGGGTAACTTCTCATCATGGAGTAGCCACAGCATAAGTTTCTCCAGGAGACTTTCACAGCACAAACCTTTCTTTCAGACACCTTTACTTTTACGTATTGTTCCAGTGTTCCCTTCTAAGATTCTGGTCATCTGCCCCTACTGTACCATATCATCTTTATATATCACCCTTGTCCACACTTGCTGTCCGCTGATTCCCAGGTAGTTTACTAAACATGTCCATGCCTCCTCAATGTATTGTGCTTCATTCACTCAACAATTTTACATTTCATTCACACCTGCTACATCTCTGATATACTTCCTCATTGCTACAGAGCACCACTTGGTTTCCGAACCCCTTAGGGATGAGACCTGTCGGTTAACATGTAAGTTCATATACAAGAAATGAAGGAAAAAAAAATAGAAAAATTTATGAAAAAACTCTAAGGGAACAAACCGACAGGTTCAAAATGGGACCGTATTTTGTTTGTACTCACCAATAATTGAAGTCCTGATCCACTTATGTTGATGATCGATGTTGTTGAAGCATAGTTATTTACAAGGAAGAGGTGGTGGTGGATGTTGATGGTGTTGGGTTGACTGAAGTTGCTGGGTTGACTGGGTCAACATGCGATGATTCAGGTGCAGGTGATGCAATGCGAGCTTTCTTGGAAGCCATTGCAAAAGACTCTTTAATTGACATTTGTTTCATTCCCTTGGCTCTTGTTTTTAAAAACTTCATATACAAATTGTACAGAGTCATCATGTCCTTGGTTTCAAACTCGCTGTAACTCGTGTCCATAAATGCCAGAATGTCTTCAAAATTTTGCTGAACTTTTTCAATATTACATTTTTCCTTTAACGTTTCTTCATCCTCTTTCTCTTCCTCTCCATCTTCCTCTCCATCTTCTTCATTGCACTCTTCTGGTTTTTTTGCTGTACATACTAATTCTATAATTTCATCATCAGTCATGATTCGATTGTTTGGGGCTTCTTCATCAAAATCTATCCATCTATCTATGTCATCTTCTATTGTTTCAGTCACCAGTTCTGCTCTAAGCTCAGGGGACTTAATCCCCTTGACATAGGCTATAAGTTCCTCTCTTAATTTTTTCCTCTCGCTAACTTTCTTCACCGCAAATCCTTCAAAATCTGCCTCGTCATCTTCCTCAGGAAACAGACTTGACATGGGCCAAAGTTTTTTTCCAACCATTTCTTAGAGTTGTCTGCTTTACCTTATCCCATGCACTAGCAGTAGTCCAGATAGCTGACTTTATTGTGAAGACTTTATAGAAGTCCTTAATTGTTCCAAGCTGATTATTAAGACGTCTGGCAAACATCCTCTTGTAGTGGTGTTTAAGGTTCTTAATTATTCCTTGATCCATGGGTTGGCTCACTGAAGTTGTATTGGGTGGCAAGAATGTTCCAATAATATTGCCATTTACTAGCTCATCACCTTATGGATGCGTTGAACTGTTATCTAGCAGCAGCACAACTTTGCTGTTTTGTGGGAGACCAACACTTTTCAGGTGCTCCTTCACCTCGGGTACAAAGTTTTTATTAAACCACTCGACAAATATTACTCGAGACATCCACGCACTTGGCTGGTCCTTATAAATCATAGGGAGGCACCTGGCTGACTTTAAAGCCCTGGGGTTTTTACTAATTCCAATCACAAGTAATTTTAATTTGTGCATGCCAGCTGCATTTGCACAGCACAACAAAGAAATTCTCTGTTTGTTCTGTTTATAACCACCTGAAGGATCGTCCTCACCACTATGAGCCATCGTGTCTGTGGGAAGCATACGCCAGTACAAACCTGTCTCATCAGCATTATAAATTTGCTCTGGAGATAAATTTTGTTCCTGTACCATCTCCGCAAATTTACTTACATATTCATCAGCACCAACAATATCAGCAGATTGTCTTTCACCATGCACTTTAATGAACCTGATGCCATGACGGGTTTTAAAGCTTCTGAGCCATCCATCACTGTATACACACTTTTGAGTAATTTTCATTGCTTGGTGAAATTCATGCGCCTTTTCCACGAGCAGCCAGCCTGCCACTGGCTTCTTCGTCACCTCACGTCTCTGTTTGTACCACTCCCACACTGCGTTATCAACACTCTCTACCTTTGCTTTACTTACTACCTTTCTATTTCGTATTCCTTTATCACTTTCACTTCTAGAAAAATAGTAAAAAATGATAGGTTTAGCCTTAAGAAGATCAAAAACAGTACTTTTACTAATGCCATATTCAGCGCACACGACACTTCTCGGGACATTGCTCTCCACCTTCTTAATTATTTCAACTTTCTTCTCAAATGTCATCACTGACCTCTTTCTTTTACGTAACCCGCTTGTAGATGCTTTCACTGACACAATGCGTGCATTTAGAGTAGACATGGTACACAGATGTTCCTTGATTATGCTGATATGTAAAACACTTCAGTCTCGTGACAAATTCAAACAATGGGAACACTAGGCCGTGAGTCTGTATTCACCTAGTTGTGTTTGCGGGGATTGAGCTTTGCTCTTTCGGCCCGGCTCTCGACTGTCAATCAACTGTTTACTAACTACTTTTTTTTTTTCTATTTCCACACCACACACACACACACCCCAGGAAGCAGCCCGTGACAGCTGACTAACTCCCAGGTACCTATTTACTGCTAGGTAACAGGGGCATTTAGGATGAAAGAAACTTTGCCCATTTGTTTCTGCCTGGTGCGGGAATCAAACCCGCACCACAGAATTTCGAGTCCTGCGCGCTATCCACCAGGCTACCAGGCCCCTAACGTGACGTCACAGGGTAGCAGGCGGCGCCCGACACGGTCAGTGGGCAAACTAAACCATCTCCCACCCACCCACCCACCACCACGGGCCGGCGCGACGCTTGGCTGACCGCTTCCTCACCCGAATTTGGTTCGTGTAGGGTAACCCCAACCCCAATCGGGAAACTGGAAGTTTCGGATAACTAAAGTTCGGGAACCAAGTGGTGCTCTGTATACATTTCCCAAATTCTTAAACCAACTGCTGCACTCGTCAACTCTTCTTGGGAACTCTTGTGAACTTCTTGGGAACACTGTCACATATGTGCTTATAGAAACTTCAAATATTGCCTTCTGGAATGGGAAAGTGCCCTCGGCTTCTGGATTCTTACATAGCCCACTATACCTAGTAAAAATCTCCTGCAACACCAAACTTGCATTCACTCTTTTCCTACTTAGACTCATTTAAAATGATCATAGTGGCATGAATAATAACCAGAGTTGAAAAGAGAAGGTACTTAAAGTGAGAACAACTCACATATGCCCCGAGCCATATGCTAAGCTATGAGTGGAATCATGACATCATCTAATGTTTGGAAAATGTAGCCAAATGTACTGTAGATTCTCCATTATACACTGTAACTAATAATCAACTCTTCTCTTTTAGTAGTAGAGGCTAGTACAGCAATTTAAGTAAATTCATAAGTGGTTTATTTCTTTTTATTAAGCAGGTGTGGGTACATAGAAGTGCCTCTGTGTGACAGCTTGGATATTGACTCGCCTTTTGACATCATCGTTGCTCAGTCGTGGATCAGCTATTGTCAACGGGAAAACAATAAACAAAATCTTTAACTGTTATGTTCTTAGGAGTTGTTGAATGTTATAGTGTTATACAAATTAAGAAAATAATTGTAATATCTACTAGACTTGCGGTCTACATTTAAAGTCTGCAGTCACCTACTCTGCATTCAATACAGAAACTGATTCTGTCTTTGAATATACAGAAATGCATAAATAATAACATATCAGCACTATCTACCACTAAAATTGGTTTTGTTAAATAATAAATATTCATGAGGCCAATGGAAACAGTGAATCCCAATTTAGCATGAATCAAATTTAGAAAAAAACAAATTTGCTCTAATTCATCTTTAAATTTGGTAACTTTCCTGTTTGCAGTTTTTTTTTGTTATTTTGAATTCTTTCAAGTATAATTTTCCATAAATGTTTTCTAGAGCAAATTTTTCCCAGTGATCATGTTGGCTGGCAAGATGACATCTCTCAGTTGTGTATCTACAATTACATACTACAGCACATTAAACATTTGAGACTTGGCACAAATATATCAGCCTGGTCTCAGGATTTAATCAGCATCAAATTTGTAGTGGGTTTGTCTAACCAGAAATGAATGAACATAGGCATCCTACTTAACCTATCAATTCCTACTTAACCTAACCTATGCTTAATTCGGACAATACAGTAGTATGAGGAAAAGTCAATATTGCAGTGCTTTTGAATTCATTGAAGCTATGAAATTTTAATGCTGTGGTTAGTAGCATCAAAGTACAATGTATTAAGTGTAATTTTCATGATATTGGTCCAAATCAGTTACAGTATAGGAATGTTGTGTATGGTAGTCATCCGGTGGAAAAACTTAAATAAGGATACGTGTACTAACATTTTTCATTTAGCTAATCCAGTCTTCTTAGTGAAGATTCAAAACACCACTGATGTTTATAATTGTCAATACAGCTGTGTAAGGATTTCTACCAATGTTTCATATATATTCTTTATAAGTATATTGACAAAAGAATTTTGATCGAGCTTGATTTTCTTCTCTTACACATGGCCTCTTAAAATAGGTATGAACATGTTTTGATTAAGCCTGTGAGGATAATTTATTTTGTTATATTTACTTATTATGTAGGAATATTTAGTAGATTTATTTCCCAGGCTGTTTTTAAAGTCCTGCATCTTTATTGGTTGTAAATTAGAAGTAACAAGAGTCAGAATGGCTAACTTCATTGCTTAATTGCATTTGTGCTGTTTAAATTACTACAGTGTGTCCTTACTTAAACAAACTACAGTGGGGCCTCGATTTATGATGGTAATCCGTTCCCAGAGACATACGTAAGTCAAAATATCGACTAAGTCGAAGCGATTTTTCCCATAAGAAATAAAGGGAATTAGATTAATCTGTTCCACACCCCCGAAAATATTAACTTAAAAATATATTTTATACTGAATACAAATTTTTTCTCTAACTACAATATAGTACACATGTTTATCTTACCTGTATGGAGGACTCTTGATGTGTATGGAAGATGATTAGGAGGGGGGAGGAGGAGAGGTGTTACTGTTTGGAAGGGAAGTCCCCTTCCATTATAACATCAGGCAGTGATGACTTCTCTGGGGTACACTCTCTCCTATGTTTTGCCTGCATACTATTAGGACCTGGTTGTGATTCACTGTTTGTTTGTCTCACTAAAAACCTTTCCATAGATTTTTGTTTTTCCTTGCGTTTTAATTTTTGCCTGTAGTGAGGCATCACAATGTCATTAAAAAGGTTAAGGCAATGGCCTACTGCACTGTGATTTGGGCGAGTCGTTTCAGCAAAAGTTTGCAATTCTTCCCATGCTGCACACATTTTCTTAATTAATGAGGAAGGGATATTCTGTACTGCCTCCTCCTCCCCTAAAGAAATTTCCTCAGCTGTCTCTTGTTGCTGCTCCTTGTGAAGTTCTTCGGTGGTCAGTTCTTCGCTGTGTTCCTCCACCAGCTTGCAACACACAACACTCAGAACACTATGTATGCCACTACTTTTTCTAAATTTCTCAAATCATCCCCTGCTCGCCTTAAACTCTTTCGCATTTGCATCATTCGTTCCAGAGGGTTTTCTTTAAAAGGTCTTCATGCAATTTCTTTGCTTTTTCACAAATGATTGCCTCTGAAACTCCATCACTCGCTAACGCCTTGCTGTGTATCCAAATTAATAATAACTGTTCAACATTTGCTTGCCCTTTGGAGCTGGACACTTCAAATAGTTCTTCTGCTGGGGGTTTGTGTCTCCACTCCGTTCACATTCAGGGAGTATCCAATGTTCTCACAGACAATCTGTCCTGTTTCCTTTCCTGATTCCTCTGCCTTTGCAGGACATATGGGTATCCAGATGTGGACCTCTTTGCATTGGCACCTTCCTCTGTATGTGGCTCATTTTCCCAATTGTGAGGCCCTCGCGGTGGATGCCTTTCGGCTGGACTGGTCAAGGTAGAGATTCCTTACTTCCAGTCCAGCTGTTGCTCTAGGTCCTGGCAAGGTTGGAGTCCTACAGGAGAGGGTGATCCTTCTGACTTCTTGGTGCTGGCTGATCAGCCTTGGTTTCACATTGCTTGCTTGGGGTCCAAACCTGGACACTTTTCTACAGATATACAATACTCTTCTCCATAGAAGAGTATTGCATATCTCTTCTATGGAGTAATACTCTTATCCAGTGCACTTAGGTCAGGGTGTCAATACCTGGTCATTCCTTAATGGTGTTGACCTCTACTAATGATGTTTCTGGGGCTTGGTACTATCTGCATCTCTGGTCTCCCAAAGGATTGCCTATGCTGTCACCCATTCTCCTTCATATTTGCTGCATCTAGTTTCTTGTATTGGTTTTTTGCTGTTGCACTTCCAGAAGTATTTTTGTTGGATTTGGAGTAGTTTATTTTATGAAGGACTGCTCTTCTTTAGTTGCTCCAGTTTAATTCCTTATCTGTTTCAGCTCGTAATATAGTGAGTGGATGCTCAGCTTTGAATTAAGAATTTTCCAGTGTTTCACTTCCCAATATTGTGTGACATAACCATTAGCAAACATGTTCATCAAGGTGGGGGTTACAGTTGACACATACTTATCTGACACTCTTGGGTGGCTCAGGGAGCAACAATGTCTCAGAAAAGAGCTTTACAATTTGTCACTTCTTTTATGTATTTTCAGATGTGCGGGTTTGGTGTTCATTTCACTCGAGCTTTATCTAAGCATAGGTAAACAGTATATCATTGTTCTGGCCAAAGTTATTTCATACGTTACAAAATAAATAAAAAAATAAATAAATAAATAAAATAAATAAAATAAATAAATAAATTAAATAAATAAATTAAATAAATAAATAAAATAAATAAAATAAATAAAATAAATAAATAAAATAATAAATAACATAATAAATAACATAATAAATAACATAATAAATAACATAATAAATAACATAATAAATAACATAATAAATAACATAATAAATAACATAATAAATAACATAATAAATAACATAATAAATAACATAAATAAATAACATAAATAAATAACATAAATAAATAACATAAATAAATAACATAAATAAATAACATAAATAAATAAAATATATATATATATGTCGTACCTAGTAGCCAGAACTCACTTCTCAGCCAACTATGCAAGGCCCGATTTGCCTAATAAGCCAAGTTTTACTGAATTAATATATTTTCTCTAATTTTTTTCTTATGAAACGATAAAGCTACCCATTTCATTATGTATGAGGTCAATTTTTTTTTATTGGAGTTAAAATTAACGTAGATATATGACCGAACCTAACCAACCTTACCTAACCTAACCTAACCTATCTTTATAGGTTAGGTAAGGTTGGGTAGCCGAAAAAGTTAGGTTAGGTTAGGTAGTCGAAAAACAATTAATTCATGAAAACTTGGCTTATTAGGCAAATCGGGCCTTGCATAGTAGGCTGAAAAGTGCGTTCTGGCTATTAGGTACGACATATATATATATATATATATATATATATATATATATATATATATATATATATATATATATATATATATATATATATATATATGTCGTACCTAGTAGCCAGAACGCAATTCTCAGCCTACTATGCAAGGCCCGATTTGCCTAATAAGCCAAGTTTTCATGAATTAATATATTTTCTCTAATTTTTTTCTTATGAAATGATAAAGCTACCCATTTCATTATGTAAGAGGTCAATTTTTTTTTATTGGAGTTAAAATTAACGTAGATATATGACCGAACCTAACCAACCCTACCTAACCTAACCTAACCTATCTTTATAGGTTAGGTTAGGTTAGGTTAGGTAGCCGAAAAAGTTAGGTTAGGTTAGGTTAGGTAGGTTAGGTAGTCGAAAAAACATTAATTCATGAAAACTTGGCTTATTAGGCAAATTGGGCCTTGCATAGTAGGCCAAGAAGTGAGTTCTGGCTATTAGGTACGACATATATATATATATATAATATGTATATATATATATATATATATATAATGCGAACAAGCCTGAATGGTCCCCAGGACATATGCAACTGAAAACTCACACCCCAGAAGTGACTCGAACCCATACTCCCAGAAGCAACGCAACTGGTATGTACAAGACGCCTTAATCCACTTGACCATCACGACCGGACATAATGAGGTGATAGCCGAGGCTATATGAACCACCCCACCGCCGGCACTCGGATAGTTATCTTGGGCATAGCATTTTACCAAATCACCTCATTCTTTGGGGCACACGTGAGGAACACAAATGCGAACAAGCCTGAATGGTCCCCAGGACATATGCAACTGAAAACTCACACCCCAGAAGTGACTCGAACCCATACTCCCAGAAGCAACGCAACTGGTATGTACAAGACGCCTTAATCCACTTGACCATCACGACCGGACATAATGAGGTGATAGCCGAGGCTATATGAACCACCCCACCGCCGGCACTCGGATAGTTATCTTGGGCATAGCATTTTACCAAATCACCTCATTCTTTGGGGCACACGTGAGGAACACAAATGCGAACAAGCCTGAATGGTCCCCAGGACATATGCAACTGAAAACTCACACCCCAGAAGTGACTCGAACCCATACTCCCAGAAGCAACGCAACTGGTATGTACAAGACGCCTTAATCCACTTGACCATCACGACCGGACATAATGAGGTGATAGCCGAGGCTATATGAACCACCCCACCGCCGGCACTCGGATAGTTATCTTGGGCATAGCATTTTACCAAATCACCTCATTCTTTGGGGCACACGTGAGGAACACAAATGCGAACAAGCCTGAATGGTCCCCAGGACATATGCAACTGAAAACTCACACCCCAGAAGTGACTCGAACCCATACTCCCAGAAGCAACGCAACTGGTATGTACAAGACGCCTTAATCCACTTGACCATCACGACCGGACATAATGAGGTGATAGCCGAGGCTATATGAACCACCCCACCGCCGGCACTCGGATAGTTATCTTGGGCATAGCATTTTACCAAATCACCTCATTCTTTGGGGCACACGTGAGGAACACAAATGCGAACAAGCCTGAATGGTCCCCAGGACATATGCAACTGAAAACTCACACCCCAGAAGTGACTCGAACCCATACTCCTGGGGACCATTCAGGCTTGTTCGCATTTGTGTTCCTCACGTGTGCCCCAAAGAATGAGGTGATTTGGTAAAATGCTATGCCCAAGATAACTATCCGAGTGCCGGCGGTGGGGTGGTTCATATAGCCTCGGCTATCACCTCATTATGTCCGGTCGTGATGGTCAAGTGGATTAAGGCGTCTTGTACATACCAGTTGCGTTGCTTCTGGGAGTATGGGTTCGAGTCACTTCTGGGGTGTGAGTTTTCAGTTGCATATGTCCTGGGGACCATTCAGGCTTGTTCGCATTTGTGTTCCTCACGTGTGCCCCAAAGAATGAGGTGATTTGGTAAAATGCTATGCCCAAGATAACTATCCGAGTGCCGGCGGTGGGGTGGTTCATATAGCCTCGGCTATCACCTCATTATGTCCGGTCGTGATGGTCAAGTGGATTAAGGCGTCTTGTACATACCAGTTGCGTTGCTTCTGGGAGTATGGGTTCGAGTCACTTCTGGGGTGTGAGTTTTCAGTTGCATATGTCCTGGGGACCATTCAGGCTTGTTCGCATTTGTGTTCCTCACGTGTGCCCCAAAGAATGAGGTGATTTGGTAAAATGCTATGCCCAAGATAACTATCCGAGTGCCGGCGGTGGGGTGGTTCATATAGCCTCGGCTATCACCTCATTATGTCCGGTCGTGATGGTCAAGTGGATTAAGGCGTCTTGTACATACCAGTTGCGTTGCTTCTGGGAGTATGGGTTCGAGTCACTTCTGGGGTGTGAGTTTTCAGTTATATATATATAATATGTATTTTATGAATGAATGTATTTATTGGTTGAATGAGCTTCCTAGCAAATGATGTAAGAAAACAA